ACGGTCGGTTCAGCCGGGCGTTGAATGGGGAACGTCACAATGGGAAATCCCACCCTGCCCCCCCCCCATTAAAAAACAAGTGATGAAGACCTCTGAAAGATGACAGCCAAATCTGAATCATTAAAGGTGAACCGTATGAAGTGAGTGCTGGATCAGGACTTGTTCTGGACCTTGTCCCGTCTGCTTTCGTTGGCAGGAGGACCTGCAGATTGACTCGGTCTTCTCCGTGACCCCTGCTGCCGACGCTCTGTCCCAGTCCAACGTGGACTCGTCCACGCTGCACATGTCCTGCTCCTTCTGCAGGAAGAACCTGCTGAAAGGACAGACGGCGTTCCAGAGGAAAGGCTTGCCGGCGCTGTTCTGCTCCACGGACTGCCTCACCACGTCACTTCCTCTCAGCAAAGGAGCCAAGATCTGCAGCAACTGCCAGAAGTGAGTGACCTGTGAGCTGCTCTGACGGTCCCGAGTGCTGCGAGTTCTGAACCCGCTCGCTGACCTCCGGCTTCTTTTCTTCTCAGGTTGATCTTCCGGCCTCACGACGTCATTCATGCTCCGGATGATAAAGGAGTCGTGAAGGATTTCTGCAGCCAGAGCTGCGTGACCTCCTTCAACTACAAGAAACGCGCCGTCAACCTCAGGGGTTCGGCCGGGCCCGCTAAAGCGCCGCAGACTCAGTCGGCCTGCAGCATGTGCTCCAGAGTCAGCACCGTGAGTCAAACCGGAGCGCCGAACTCTGGATTAATTAACCCCCCACCCCCACCCTGAGTTCCTCTGTTGGTTTTCGAACTCTGGGTCGAGCTGCGTTGTCTTCTCTCTGCAGAGCAAACACGAGGTGGTCCTGAGCGGAGCCGTTCACAAGATGTGCAGCGACGCCTGCTTCAACCGTTTCCGCACCACCAACAACCTGGCGATGTCCGGCTGCGCCAACTGCGGCCTGTACTGCCACAGCAAACCGCTGCTGCTGAAGATGGACGACGGCAGCAAGACGCTGTGCAACGCCGAGTGCTTGGCTCAGTTCAAAGAGGCAGGGACTCACAAGTTCACCACGTGCCCCTGGAGTCCGCTCTCTGAGACTAACCTCTGATTCTTCTGCTTCACCCCCCCCCATAGAAAACCAAGCTGATCCAGATGTGCACGATGTGCCGGGCCCCCCGCTCGCTCGCTCAGATGGTGGACAACAGAAACAGCGACGACTCTGTGAATCTGTTCTGCAACAGCAGCTGTGTGATGGCCTTCAAGGTCCAGTCTGCCAGCTCCTTGGGTAACTGTCAGGAAACACCTCCTCTGTCCTGCACCTCCTTTTGTTTTCACAAAGTTTAAATGGTGTCCGCTGCACACGCTTGAGTTAAGAACGGTTTTCAACCGTCTCTGGTTGAATTCAACCCACCTGTTCTTGTGTAGTCATCATGCTTTCGTCCTGAGCTCTGACAAATCCCGTATCATGAAAATAATTAAAAATGTCCTCAGTCTCGTGACTATGAGGTTAAGATTGTAACGGACCGGCTCGGTGCTGGCGGTCAGGACGTTGTCGTCTCTTGTAGTTAAGTTGTTTTTTACCGATAGCTCTAGAGTTTTTAACGTGGAGTTCAGGGACTTTACCTGAGGATATAAATACCAAACGTTCGTTTTAACAGCCGTTGTCCACCGTCGCAGAGCGGAACAAGGGAGTTGGGTATATCTCAGGCCATCTGTGCACGTTGTGAGCACGACCGCTTGAAAGCTGAGGTTTGACGTAAGAAAGGTCTCGATCAAAAACTGGGATGTCATGCAAAAATACAAGATGGCCGCCATCATATATGTGTGTGTGAACTGACCACCCTGATCGTTTGAGGAAAATAGTTTTATACTTCTTAAAAGTATAATTTCCTCAAATGCCTGGAGCGGTCAAAGATTAATTTTTGGACTCCCCGGGTCCTCCTCTGCTCCTGGTGGTGATAAAACTGCTCCCTCCGCTCTTCAGGCTCCGTCACTCTGCGCCGCTCGGACGAGAAATGAAACCTCCCTCTGTTGTTTACTCAGCGTAACTCCTCCCCACTTAGATATCTGATCAGAAAAACATTAAAGTTGACTTTCATTCCCTGTTCAAGTCCAGTTCAGAAAAACATTCATCATCAAAACTTTCGCTGTTCAAGTCCGTCAGCGACGGGGACGTTGGTGTACGACTTGTTCACGTACAGATCAAAACGCAGTCCGTCATAAACATCATTAATGTAAAAACAACAAAACACTTTGGTTGCCATGGAAACTCCACTCATTAACATGCGTGTTTAAATTCTCTGTAAAACATTTTTCCCGGCTGTTCTCCGCAGGTACTCAAGTGAACTGTGATTATTGCAGTAAAAACGCCGTACCTTCGTACCACCTGGCCATGTCGGACAACTCCATCAGGAACTTCTGCTCGCTGCCGTGCGTCATGTCGTTTCAGGTAAAAAAATAAAAAAGAACCTCTGATTTTCACGCCGCCGCGCCACGACGGCGTTAAGGTTTTTAAATCTGCTCGTTTTCCGCCTCAGGAGAAGTTTAAGAAGAGTCAGGCGCGGCTGAACGCTATCGCCAAGCCGGCGGTGGGATCGGCTCATACCGCCGTCACGCCTCAGATCTGCCTGGACGCCAAAGATCTGCGTAAACTGCGCTGCCTGCACTGCAACCAGATCATCGCGAGCAAACCTGAGCTCATCCACATCAAGGTACCGAGCCCCAGGGCTGGAAGGTTCTGATGGATCAGACCCACATGATGAGCATAACCGCTCAAACCGTTAGCATCACTGAAATACTCTCAATCTGCTGGAAACACTTTTTGTGATTCAGGTGGATTTTTTGAGCCCGACCAAAATGGAAATTTTTGCTATCGCTGATATTGCGAGGTGAAGGCGCCGCGATGACCGATATAATGGCTTAAAAAATGTGCACTTTGTCCACCCCCAAGAATCTCATTAAACAGTGAGGGGAGCAGGGCTTGTTTGTTTAGCGCAGCTGTTAGCGATCATGAAGCTAAGCTAATCAGATCCACCTTTAATTAGTCCAGCTGTGCTGCGTTCTGTTCAAAGACGGTAATAAGTTCATCACGTGAGTAAGTTACATAAATGAGGTGATAAATAAATTCATAGTTAATAATTAGTTTAAGTAGTCATGCTAAAAACTTAAAATGTTTTTGGTTTGAACTCCAGTCAGAGTGGGACATCTGATCTTCGTGGTATTGTACGTGCAACACGTGAGGTAGTGAGTGCTCTCACCACAGGACAATCTTTGACGACTTTTCTCCAGTAAAACAAGAGCTTCGGAAAATAATGGAGAAACGGCTCATATACTGGTGCACGCTAAATGTGCCCTACACGCTTGAGCCTTGGGAGACTTTCGTCTTGTTACAAATTCATAAACAAAATGTCTTCAGTAAACTCATGAACGCGAGCCTTGTCTGAGGACTTTTTATTTTGTTCGCTGTCTAGCTTCATATCGTCTCATGTTGTGAGGACAACAGACTCACACTGACGTTAGCTTGCTAACTTGAGGAACGTAGCTAACGACAAGCGGGTTGGAGGATTGAAGAGATTTATTGTGAATTTTTTATTTTACAGATCAGTTCAAATGAACTTGCCAAGCTCTGTTCAGCACCACGCAGTACTGCTCCCTGCTTCATCTGTGCTCAACGTCAAACTGAAACCTGAAGTGAACGCCATGACTTGAACGTAGTCTTCACGCGCCCTCTGCTGGTTACATCGTACAATTACAGCTTGTTCCAGCATTTTAGGGGTGAAAATTAGAAGTGTTTATACTGGCCGATAATGGGACCACTATCGCCGATACCGATAGACGACTATATCATCCAAAATTATCGGCCCTACCGATTAGGTCTGTCACAATAACAAATTTTGCAGGGCAATTAATTGTCTCAAATTATTCCGATAAACAGTATCGTTTTAAATTTGACAGTAATTAGTAATTATTGTCAAATTTAAGAAGAAATGTTGGTTAATTTTTGTGTGTGGTACCTTTTTTTGACCACTGGATGGCAGTACAAGACTGTTCGAACCGAAGGATGGATAGTGAGGGAGTGAGCAGCGTGTCTTTTTTAAGAAAAACGGGAGGGAGGCCCCTTGACGTGACATGGGCTGTCTCTCTTCATTTCTCAAAATGGCGGACGCTCAGTGTGGTTTGAGCTCTTTAGCATTTTTCACACAAAGCTTAAAAAAAAAAAAGTTCTCAGGTTCTTTTTGCAGAGAAAAACAACTTTTTACACGAAGGCACGAGTTTCAACTGTGAATTTTGGAGCTTCGACAAGACGGAGGTTTTTCCCCGAGGTCGGCCTGTTAGCTCGTAGCTTAGCTTCTCAGCTTAGCTGCTTTCAACGATCCAAAAACGTGATTCTTGATCGTTAAAACAGATTTTAAAGAGAAAGGGCGGGGTCAGTGAAGAGACCGGAGTTGAGACACGAAGAAACGATAAAACCGATAAATGAAAATGAGGTCGATAATTTTCATTTACCATGCGATTAATTGATTATTGTTTATCGCGACAGGTCTACTGATACATCAGTCGGACTTGTGTTTTTAAAGTAAAATGCCAAAATAAAGTGATTGTATCTTTAACAACTGTAGGAGTTTACTTTTTATCAAATGATGCACAACAAGACGTTTTGTTTTAAATGTTTGTGTTTTAAAAAAGTGGCGTTTTTACTGTAAAAACCAAACTCTTTGTCAGAACAGTCACGTTTGTTCTGACTGCTGCTGCGAGTCGTGTTCTATTAAATGTTTTACAAACCAAAACATTTTGATTCATTTCAGTTTGAGAACCGAAATGACGTCAAATCTGTTTGGACTGTTTTAAGCGGAGCGTTTTCTGTGACCCGTTATAAAGTTAACTCTTACTCTGATCAAAATGACCTCTTCACAGAACAACCCCAGAGTATTGTGTCCTCCATGATTCATCGCAGGACTTTCTGACATGTTTGCACTTTAAATGAAAGCAGCCCGGATGGTGCTGATGAGCAGAGGGCGCTCCTCATCTGTTTGCAGGATAAGATCGCCTTTCTCTGCAGCGCCGACTGCTCCATGGAGTACAAGAAGACCAACTTCGTGACCAGTCTGTGCGAGTACTGCAAGATCGAGAAGATCACCAGGGAGGTGAAAAGAATCGACAACAAGGACTGCTACTTCTGCAGCGACGGTGCGACGCTCTTCAGAGGGTTTTATTGGTCCGACCGCCTCTCTGCAGACACGTTGGTTGGTAGTGACATCACTTCCTGTTTGCAGGCTGCAGGCTCCTCTTCAGACACGAGCTGAGCAAGAACTGGGGCAAACACTGCCACTCCTGCCTTTACTGCAACAGCGTGTCCAAGAAGCTGGTGACGGCTCAGTACGGGGGCTCCGTCGAGGACTTCTGCTCCGAGGAGTGCCGGTCCAAATACACCATGCTCTTCTGCCACGTAAGCGAACCGGAACCCGATCTTTAAAAGCTCCCGGCGCAGACTGCGGAGATGCTGACGGCGGTTTCCCCGCAGGTTGCGAAGTGCGACAGCTGCTGGCGCAAAGGCAAACTGAAGCAGAGCCTGTCGCTGCTCGGCGAGGTCAAACACTTCTGCGGGCTCAGCTGTCTGCTGAAGTTCTGCTGCGACACGGTGGCCACGCAGGGGCCCATCCCAAAAGGTCGGTCACTTCTTATATCACGTGCCACTGTTTGGAGAGTAACACTGAACGGACACGTTTACTAAAGTGATCTCGTTTTGATTAACGTCCTGCAAGTTTTAATCTTCCACCTGAAGATTAACACGACACTGAAGCTGCGGGGCAACGATGAACGTTTGGTTTGTTGCTCGAAAAGATGGAGACTTTGTGAGAGTCCTCTCAGTTCCAATGTTCTCCAAGAAGTTTGAGCCTCTTAGCTCTGATTCAGGAAAGACTGATGTCAGGTTTAAGCACAAGTAACAAAAAGTCTAAATGAAGTTCCTACGTAGTCGTAAAAAATCTGCATTTCCAAGATCTGAATAACTCGAGAAAAAGGGAACTGGTGTTTCTAGTTACCCCGGCGCGTTTCGTTTCTAAAAGCTGCTCCAACTGGCTCAACGTTTTTCATCGACCACATATAAAAAAATAATTAAATCACCGGAGCGACCGACTTTTATCACGTGGAATGTGGACATTTAAAACATCAGTTATGAGCAAACACTCTTGACTGCAACGGTACGAACTGGCCCACGTGGGTCGAGTCGGGGCTGTCCAGTCCTGGTCCTGCAGGGCCATCGTCCTGGAGGGACACTGTCCTGCAGGGACACTGTCCTGGAGAGACACTGTCCTGGAGAGACACTGTCCTGGAGAGACACTGTCCTGCAGAGACACTGTCCTGGAGAGACACTGTCCTGGAGAGACACTGTCCTGGAGAGACACTGTCCTGGAGGGACACTGTCCTGGAGGGACACTGTCCTGCAGGGACACTGTCCTGCAGGGCCATCGTCCTGGAGGGCCACTGTCATGGAGGGACACTGTCCTGCAGGGCCATCGTCCTGGAGGGACACTGTCCTGCAGGGCCATCGTCCTGGAGAGACACTGTCCTGCAGGGACACTGTCCTGCAGGGACACTGTCCTGGAGAGACACTGTCCTGCATGCTTCCCTGATTCAACGGTTGAATCAACTCTTCATGTTCTTCAGTTTAATGACCCGATGACTCCCATCAGGTGAGTTGAAGCAAACATCTAACACATGCAGGGTAGTGGCCCTCCAGGACCAGGATGGGGCACCCCTGGGTTTATCCTGATGCTGCTCAGTAATCCAGGTAGAAGAATCTAACAAAGTTGAGTCAGGTCCTCTGGACAGATTCTTTCTGTTGAAACGTTTCGTCTTTTATCTAAAGGACTTCTTCAGTCTGAGGAGCTGCAACAAACTCAGTCTTATAAACAGCACCTTCTCATGGTGGATCAACCAGCTTGTTGTTGACATCCAGAACCAGCTGTTCACATGATGAAGGACCATCAGCCTGACAATCATTAGCACCTGATGATCGCTTGCTATTCACAGGAGGCTGAGTGATTCTAGCAATAACAGCATTGTAAGAGGGGGACAGTTGGACACGGAGGCTCCGCCCCTCTTTAATGATGGACAGTCTCTTCACAAAGATGGCCTCCTTTACTCCTCTCAAAAACTCCCTCTCTCTTGCTAGTATCACTCAGCCCCCTGTGAATAACAAGCGATCATCAGGTGCTAATGATTGTCAGGCTGATGGTCCTCCATCATGTGAACAGCTGGTTCTGGATGTCAACAACAAACTGGTTGATCCACCATGAGAAGGTGCTGTTTATTAGACTGAGTTTGTTGCAGCTCCTCAGACTGAAGAAGTCCTTTGGATAAAAAAACAACTGTTTCAACAACAACAATCCATCCAGAGGACCTGACTCCACCTGGTTAGACCCCTGGGTCTAGTTTGTGTGGACTTGTGTGACCACGACGAGGTGACGGTTCCTGTGTTCTGGTTCCAGTGTCTCCAGAGGACACGCCGGTGATCGCCAGCGTCATGTCGCTCGCAGAGCAGCAGGCCGGAAAAGCTTCAACCAGATCTTCAACCAGAGCTGCTCAACAAGGTAAAGACAACAAACTGCGGCTCGTCTTCCCAGTTCTTCAGGGACCATTTACTCTTTTTATTTTGTCTCCTGCAGGTAGAACATCCAACGTGTCAAAGAAAGCTGGACACGTAAGTTTGTATTTTATGATGAAGTCCTTTCGTCCTCTTTATAACTGATGTAAAGTTAATTTTGGACACCGGCTCGTCTCAGGAGCTAAACATCAAGAACGAGCTGCTTTTAGAAGATCTTCAGTTCAGACGATCGTTCCTTTACGAGACGTTCTTTTGATGCTTCGGTCTTTGCTGATTTAAATAGAGTTATAAAAACTTCAATAAAAGTTTGAATATAAACCCCAAAAATGTGATTTTATTCATTCACTTTTTAATTTAAATTAGATTCAGTTTATTTCTGTAGCTTTAAGTCACACCAGAGGTCGTCTCAGGGCACTGCAAACATTCACGTACATTAAAAAGACGATTAGTAAAGTTATTTATGTAAAGCAGCAGCAGATCGTGTTGAGTCTTCACTTCGTCACAGTCTCTCACCCTGAGCAAGAACAGAGGAGACAGTGGGAAGAAAAAACTCCCTTTAACAGGAAGAACCCTCCAACAGGACCAGGTCAGGACGAGCGGACATCTGCTTCAACCAGCTGGTTTGAGAGGACAGGAAGTAGAAACACACAGAATGACAGGTCCAGATGAACTTTCTATAGTCCAGATGAACTTTCTATAATTCAGGTGAACTTTCTATAGTTCAGGTGAACTTTCTATAGACCAGGT